TGCCATCGTTCTATAATAGTTTATCGAGTTAGTTAACGTCACGTTTAAAAAAGAAATAGGATCAATTATGAATACAAGAAATCTTTTATACCTCTAGGACTGGAATCCCGTTCAAAGATTTTCACATCGAATTCTTTTTTATCTTTGTTCTTTATCAATGCATGATAAAGAGCAAGTCCTCCTGGTCCTGTACCGATAATGATAACTTTTGGAATTTTTGCGTGTTGCATTTATTAATAAGTTAATTCAAATGTGTTAAAATATTGTTTAAAATTTTTAACGTGTGAAATTATTTATCAAGGTTGTTAAATATATAAAATCTTTAAAGGTTAAAATAATTTGTCAAGGTTGTTAAAATGTAACCTTTTGATTATTTATTAAACGCGATTTGTTTGTTTTTTTTTGATTTTTTTTCAACGAACTAATGAGGGATATTTATAAAAAAAATTGATGCCAATGAAATTTATATCGAAGAACTGGTGAACGATCATTTCTTCGTAGAAAAAAACCAACTCATTGAGATAATTAAATGTGATGCATAAATTTAGCCGAAAATTAATGCGAGAGTTTTTTTAGCAAAAGAATAATGTTTGTACGACATCATCATATTTTGGCGGTCATTTCGGTACTGAATTTATCCGTTCAGCTCTCATTATGCAAATGGTAAATGAATTACTATACTAAGAATAGTTTTTACTTAAATAGGTATAAGAATAATCTGGTTCTATTTATACACACGAGTTTCTCAATAAAAATTTTAAATTCCAATCAATATTATCGTAATTACTGCGCAATTATTCTTAGTTTTTTACATCTTTTATGACCCGCCTAATATTTCCAAATTTTACATTATTTGTAAACAAATTACAATGTGTAGTAATTGATAAAATATGACGATCGATGATTATGATTTGAAATCAAACACTGTCGAAGTGGGATGATATAAATCATTAGACATTTTTATATTATTTATTTGTTTGTCCATTTACTAAAATTAATAAGTTTACTGAAGAAAAGTTTATAGCTAAACGTTAAATTTCTATTTATAATTATAAAAATATTAGTTAATTAAATATAAAAAAATCAAAAAAAAAAATTTAATATAAATTAAATCTTTTTAAATAAACCATTTAGCAAATTAAACTAAATATTATTTTAATAAAAAATATTAATAAAATTTAAACTACTAAATAAAAATAAAGATAATTACATCCTAGATATTATTAAATAAAATGTAATTTGCATGTGTTGAAATAAAGTAGTTATTATGAATTAATTATTAAAAATTATTGCTCAATCTTTTATTTAGATAATAAATATAATAAATGTTCTTTACTTTTAAAATTTATTAACATTTTTTCATATTTAACTTTCAAATGAATTTGATATTATACTTTTTTTCCTTTATCATTGTCATAAGACTTTAGAATTTTAAATGAAAAGTACAGTTAACTAATATATTAATATGGGGCTAAGCTATTAAAATCACCTTACAGGACTTTACCAACCAAAATTGAGATTTTTGATTCATATTATTATATGATATATGATTAAACTTTTATAGTCAATTATCTTATTAATAAAGCAAGCAATTAGGCAGCCAAAGTTTCTCATTTTTATGCAACATCAGTTGAAAAATCTAAAATTAGAATTTAAAAATGATTAATATAAAATTTGGATTCTTATAAAATTCAAAAATTTTAACTTTAACCATTATTTAAATAAATAGGAAGTCTAAAAAGTATTTAATACTGCAGCAAATAATTTTTTTTTTAAAAAAAAAATAATAAATATAAAAATAATTTTTCTTTTAAATATTAAATTTTCTAATAAATTAGTGTAATAATGTCCTATAGGGTAATTTTAATAGCAAAATCTCAAGTGTTATAAAATTGTATTCAAATATTACAAAAATTAGTCCTGTAAAAATAATTTTTATAATAGTAATGAATTTTAAAAATTATAAAATAATAATTTAATAGTAAAATTAATAATAAATTTTAATTTCCACTTATTAATTAATTTGATTTAATATTTAAAAATAGAATAATTTATTATTACTAAAAATGTTTATAGTATTTTTTTAATCATTATTTACTCAAAATTAATTTCTTATTCTGTAAGGTAATATTAATAGCTTAACCTCCATATATTAATTATTTCAGATTATATGTAAAAAATATTAACTAAAACTTATCTAGAATAAGATATATCAATTATACTAAATTATTTTGTAAAATATTATAACTTAATTCAAGTCACAATTATATAATTCAAAGTATTTTAAGTTAATAAAAATTGATTATTATTTAAGTATTAAATCTAAATATTTTTAAAATAAGTGTGGTAATAAAACTTACCAAAAAAGTTTAGAATAATATAAATAATATTAAATAATACTTTAGTTCTTTTATATAGCTTTGAATATTTATTTGATAAATTAAATAGTTTAAAAAATGTGATCTATTAATAAGAAGAATTGAAGCATTTAGCTTGTCGGCCTTAATATTAAAAATGATTAAAATAATTTTTTAAATATTTGTATAATTTATTCATTATTCTATTCTTTAGTATGATATTTGAAAAAAAATTTATAAAATTAATAATTTGAATGAGTATTTTTATGATAAAAATTAATCAAATTATGTGATATTATTATTGATAATTTTTTTAAAATTTAATAATAAAAATTTTAATATTTATATTAATCATAAAATCTACAAAAATATAGCAAATCTGTATAGTTAGTAATTTATATAATATGGTTCTTTTTATATATAATATTTAGTATTAGAAATCATGCAAGATACTACTTGTTATGAAAAAAATAATATATATATAATTTTTGTAATATATATAACATACATACATTCAAAAAAACTATATAATATATAAATTGCTAACTGTACTGTATAGGTTTGTGTAATATTTAAAATCTATGTATTAATAATACTTCTATTAATAGTTTAAAATTTTTACTATTATATATTAAAAATATTTATTTATTATTTATAT